TTTGGTTTTTTATTGGGATGCTTATAAAAAATGCTGAATGAATGAATGAATTCCACCAGGTGCCTTGGTGTGTTTGTTTGCAAAGGAAGCTGAGCTGTGTCTTGGGGAGAGGCTGAGACTTTGCCCCTGCTCATCCAAAAGTGCCAACAAGGCTTTTTGGCCGGCTCCTCCACTTACCCACTCCCCATGAGGTGTCTGTGAGGGGCTGCTTGGCCCTCTCCCCAGGGGGTCCTGGTCACTTGGCCCTGGGTTTACACTCAGGGCTCTGTAGGGGGTGGCTCCAGGTCACCACAGCTGGATTTCTGCTCTGGCTGGACTCTGATCTCCCCGGGCTCCACCTCCACCGCAGGGCCTTGCCCCTGCCCCAGCCGCGGGGCTGTTTACTGCCCAGAGGCCCGACACCTCCCCACCTCCCTCACCCATCCCTCCTCACCCCCTCGCTGTCCCCCAGGCTCTCAGCCCCGACGCGGCTGCCATGGCCCCGCAGCAGCTCTTCCGCGCGCTGGTGTCTGCGCAGTGGGTGGCGGAGGTGCTGCGAGCGCCACGCACCGGATCGCCCCTGCAGCTGCTGGACGCCTCCTGGTACCTGCCCAAGCTGGGCCGTGACGCGCGCCGTGAGTTCGAGGAGCGCCACATCCCTGGCGCTGCCTTCTTCGACCTAGACCAGTGCAGCGACCGCACGTCGCCCTACGACCACATGCTCCCCAGCGCGGCGCAGTTCAGCGATTACGTGGGTCACCTGGGTGTGGGCGCCACCACGCACGTCGTGGTCTACGACGCCAGCGACCAGGGCCTGTACTCGGCGCCCCGCGTCTGGTGGATGTTCCGCGCCTTCGGCCACCGTACAGTGTCGTTGCTCGAAGGTGGCCTCCGCCACTGGCAGCACCTGGGCCTCCCACTGGGCTCCGGCAAGAGCCACCCAGTGCCCGCCGAGTTCTCCGCCAGGCTGGACCCTGCCTTCATCAAGACGTTCGAGGACATCAAGGAGAACATCGAGTCTCAACATTTCCAGGTGGTGGATGCCCGGTCCACTGGTCGCTTCCGAGGCACCGAACCTGAGCCGAGAGAAGGTAACAGCCTGGGGAGAGGGCCTGGGAGGTCACCCCGTATGTATGTGTGTGGTGGGGGGAGAGGGGCTCAGGTGCGTGTCCTATGCCCTGGGCAATGCCTGGGGTTTGAAGGATAAAGTGGAGGAAATATTGAAGGGAGGGAGATTGAATGGGGGCCAGAGATGAGGTTTCCAGTGGCCTCACTCTCTTAGCCTCACTTGCTTTATTCATAACCAAACCCACTGCTATTGAGTAGATTCTGACTCATAGATACCGCATAGCACATAGTAGAACTGCCCCATAGGGTTTCCACATCTGTCAGTCTTTGGGGAAGCAGGCTGTCACATCTGCCTCCCACAGAGCGGCTGGTGGAAGAAGGCAATACTACTTGCCCACCTCCAATTGTGCTTGGGGCTGTGGGTGCCCCAAGCCCATTTGTGACCCCAGGGTGCCCTGTATTAAGTGTGAAAAGCTGTTACCAACCCAGAGAACCTGCACCCCAGTCCTGTGCGTGTCTTGGGTCACTGCCTTGGGGGGCTCAAGTCTGCCCCCACCTCTGCCGATGGTGTAGTGAAGGAGGAGGGAGTCTTCTGAGGACTGAGTCTCGCTTCCTAAACCATGAGAAAATAACTCTCTGCCTGTTAAAGCATCCGCGTGTGGTATTTCTGTTACAGCAGACAGCTAAGGCACGAGGGAGACCAAGGCAGAGGCAGCCCTAGAGCTGGGATTTGAGTCGTTAGCCGTGAGC